AGAGGCAGCCAATCAAAGATTCTCTCTCATCATTGATATTTCTATCTCTCTCCCTTTCTCTCTCTCTAAAATCAATAAATATTTTTAAAATTACTATAAAGTAGTTATTGAAAAGAAATTTTAAAGTATCATGCTTCTATCCTGCCTTAGGAGAGTATTAATAATAAAGATTTGTTAATAACCATAAATCTTGAAAACAGTATGTTTGAATTAAAAAGAAAATATATAATAATGCTATTGTCATCCCAAGAAATAAGGTATATATTAAAAAGATTTGTTTGAGGGTTTATTTAAAAAATGTATTAGTCTTGATTAGTTTACATGAGGACTTTTAAAATAAATTTCACCAGCAAGAAAAAAACCTTCATAAAGACTGGAAAAAGTTGAATGATGTATTGTTATTAAATATTAAAAAAATTTTCAAGAGAATTTTGTTTTTAATATGGGTGTTTGTCACCTTATTTCTTATAGCTTGATCCCAATCTGGATTACATTATAATTTCCCCTAAAATATAAAGTAGCTCTAAAATGCTTATAACCAAACAGCATTAATTTACCTTGCCTTTGGCACCCAAGTTCCATTCCCCTAAAGCAGCTAATTTAAGGTGTTTCTTTTCATATGTACTTATATTTTCCTTAAAAAGATGCATATATTTTTCTACTTAATTCATAAAGGGATAGAGGATTTTTCCATCTTCTATACTCCCCACTGCCTTCCTCCGTTTCTCAGTATGGTTATGTTAAAATTGTTGGTTAAGTCCATTTTTATTTAATGACCATGTAAATACTGTTCACTTCTGAGCTAACAAGTGTGCTATTATATTTTTTCAGAGTTAATTATTGTCTCATTTTTTACGTTATAGATCTTTTTATTTATGACTAAATCTGCCCATACCTTCTGCAGATATTTATATGGGAATGGGATTATAGAGCCTTTAATTTTCTGCATTTGTATATTTCTATAGTGTTTGAATGCTCTTAAAAAGAATACCCACTTACTAGTTTTCTTAAATTACTAAAAGCAATAAAAATATTTCCACTTTGAAAACTACACAGGTGATGAAAGTGTTAACCACTTGCCAGCAAAGAATCTAGATTGCAATGAGGAAAATATTTAATATGAACAGACAGATCAGCACCAACAAACATTTGAGGAAATGGAGACCCAAATGACCAGGCCAAAAAGGATCTTAAAGGAGCTGAGAAAATTCTGGCTAAAAAATCAATCTGGGCCTAACCAGTTTGGCTCGGTGGATATAGCATTGGCCTGCGGATTGAAGGGTCCCAGGTTCGATTCTGGTCAAAAGCATGTACCTTGGTTGTTGGCACATCCCCAGTAGGAGGTGTACAGTAGGCAGCTGATCGATGTTTCTAACTCTATCCCTCTCCCTCTCTGTAAAAAAATCATTTAAAAAAATTGTTTTTTTTAATCAATCTGGGTTAGCGTGTAGGCTTGGTGCCTGGGGCAGGTGAGCGGGCCTCTGGGAGGCAAAAAAAAAAAGCCCACAGGACCCAGTATTGTCCCGTCCAAGTGCTAACCAGGCCCAGCCCTGCTTAGCTTCCAAGTGGTATGGCCCTAGATCAGCCGTGGGCAAACTACGGACCGCCGGCCGGATTCGGCCTGTTTGAAATGAATAAAACTAAAAATAAAAAAGACCGTACCCTTTTATGTAATGATGTTTACTTGGAATTTATATTAGTTCACACAAACACTCCATCCATGCTTTTGTGCCGGCCCTCCGGTCCAGTTTAAGAACCCATTGTGGCCCTCGAGTCAAAAAGTTTGCCCACCCCTGCCCTAGATGCTGAAGGTGGCCTCCAGGAATCTTAAGAGCCCACACCTGGCCTCCAAGCCCCTCAGCCCTGGCCACCACACTGAGCTCCAGCTTGTGCTCTGCCCTTCCCTGGAACCAGATCTCTCACTGAGCCCTCGATCTGCCTCTCACCCACCTGAGCTTCCAAAGGTGCCAGAGGGCACCTCCTTTGGGGGTGGGATTCCCAACTAGGCAGGACAGAGCCCCCGAAGGATTGCAGAAGGTGGGGGAGGGGGATTACTAGGCGGCCTTTGGTCTGGGACACGGGGTTCCCTTAGATTGCGGGTGTACCTCCCTCCGCAGCACAGGGGTTCGTTTGGTTCCCCTTGTTTCCGGGCACTGGCCCCACGGATTTCAGGGAAAGGGACTGTGGACCCATAATAAACTTGGTGCTTTCTAATATTGAAAGCATTTTTCAATCAGTGCTGGATATAAGGTATGCTTTCCCTCTGCAATCATTTATTCATTCATTTGCTTTTTTGACTAGATGCCTATTCTGAAACTGCCAATTATGATTTTCAGATTATCACAAAAATCAGTTAAAGCCACATATAGTAGGACATTTATAAATAACTAGAGGCCTGTTGCACGAAGAGATTCGTGCAATAGGCCTTCCCTTCTCCTGGCTGCCGGCACTGGTTTTCCACCGGCCCCTGGGCCCCAGGCCTTCGCTCCGGCCGGAGCCGCCTTCAGTCTTCCGTCTTCACTGCTCTGGCTTGCCTTCAGTCTTCCCTCCGCCGCTTGGAGCCTACGTATGCAAATTAACCACCATCTTTGTTGGTGGTTAATTTGCATATCAAGCTGATTAGCCAATGGGAGGCTTAGCGAAGGTACGGTCAATTACCATGTTTGTCTATTATTAGAATAAATGGTAATTTCTGTTTTATATCGGTAAGTGTGCATATATGTAGAACACAACAGTGATCATGAGATATGTAGGCATTAAGATGTATGAATAGTAAAACCTTGACTACCATATCTAGAGGTCTTGAAGTACTTGAAGTTTTGCAAATAAGATACTACAGATAAAATAAGTCATTTAGACTCAAATCATATATGGAAGAGTGATAGCTGACAGGAAGGGCCTTGGAATCACATAACTGAGCCATTCAGCTTCAGAAATGGATGAATGGGTTAAAATGTCCCACATAGAATAAGGGTATTCCTACACAATGTTTCATCTATTTCCAGGTTGGAATCAATGTGGAAATAACTTATCCTGTCAAAAGAATCTTAAGCTCTCCTTTCATCATTGTCAAAGACAGAATACCAAGGCAGCTGAGCAGGAGACACAGAGAAAATATAGATACAGCACCAAACAAAAAGAAGCCATTTCCCATAATAAGCAATTTCACAGACTATTTGCAGAAAATATGGAAAAAACATTAAAATCTTTTTGGACAGCAGTTCCATAAGCACTGTTACTAAAGTAACAATGCAAACTATTACAGTCAGAGACAACCCTAAGTCCACAGAATGGGTTTAGCCACTATCAATTACTTTTTTAAAATACATTTTTTATTGATTTCAGAGAGGAAGGAAGAGAGATAGAAACATCAATGATGAGAGAGAATCATTGATCAGCGGCCTCCTGCACGCCTGACGCTGGGGATCGAGCCCAAAACCAAGGCATGTGCCCTTACCGAGAATGGAACCATTACCTCCTCATTCATAGGTTAACGCTCAACCTCTGAGCCACACCAGCCAGACCACTATCAATTACTTTAAATAAATAAATAAGTAGATAGATAGATAGATAGATAGATAGATAGATAGATAGATCCCCACATTGGGGATCAAGCCTGCAACCCGGGCATGTGCCCTTGACTGGAATCGAACCTGGACCCGTCAGTCCACAGGCTGATGCTCTATCCACTGAGCTAAACCAGCTAGGGCTCAATTACTTTTAAAATTGCTTTTATCAGATCCAATTTTAAGAATCCTTAGGTATAGATAAAATCAATTAGGTATAGATAGAATCAATTAGTAATTTTAGTTAAGATCTGGTACCTAGAGTAAGCTGACCAGAAATATAACAGATTTTATACAATGTGGTCTTAAGCAAATTCCTTTCCCAGAGAGTTGCATTTCTCATCACATCTTTTCAGATGCATAGCTCTATGCAAAACACAAAACAATTTATAAAGGAGATATTATAGTTTGGTTAGGACTTTATGTGTATACTCAAAACGAGTTAAATCCAAAAACAAGCTTTTAACAAATTATCTGAAAGAATTTGTATCACATATTTAGCACTATGCATCAGGCACTGTCTTAAAAATATCTATATATATAAAAGGCTATTATGCTAAGTGTTCCTCTGACTGTCCAACTGGTTGCTATGATGTGCAGGGGGCAGACGCTCAATGCAGGAGCTGCTATGACGCACACTGGCCATTTACAAAGAAACGGCACAGCAGACCTGATGCCGACAAAGCCACATTCAGCTTCCCCCATGTGGGACACAGG